CTTGGTGGTGGCAGCATACTGTTCAAGGACAAGGCAAAGTTAGTACCTTGGGGAAATTTTTAACCTAAGCTGATAAGAATAAGTTTAGGCGGTCTTTCATGTGGGTCCCCACATCTGTACCCTAGAGTTCAGAGTGGGGAAGGAACCCTGACATATGCTAACAGTAGCATTCTTCTGTCGGCATAGTTGTGTCTACATCAGTGGTTTTATTGGCATAGCTATGTTGACTAAGGAGTGTGATTATTTATTTTCAAAACGTTGTGGTGTCGATCAGGCTTAAGCACTCCGCCGATGCTGCACTGTCGGGTGGGAAATTGAGAGGCTGGGAATAGAAATCAATCTTGTCTCTCTCCTTTCACACTGGAGAGTAGCGCCACCTCCTAATTTTTGAACCTGATTCTGCAATTCATCAGCTTGTTGTTACTCTAATTCAGGGGTCAGCAACCTTCGGCACGCAGCCAATCAGGGTAATCCGCTGGTGGGCCGCAAGACATTTTGTTTACATTGACCATCCGCAGGCACGGCCCCCCCGCAGCTCCTGTTCCCGGCCACTGGGAGCTGCGGGGGATCGTGTCTGCGGACAGTCAACGTAAACAAAATGTCTCGTGGCCCGCCAGTGGACTACCTTGATGGGCCGCGTGCCAAAGGTTGCTGACCCCTGCTCTAATTTTTATTTGTTTTATGCCAATCAATGTTTAGAGTTATTTTAAATATAAACATTTGAGCTAGTCAAAAAACAGAAAAACTGTTTCAAACTTGACCCATTTTCCATGAAAGTTTCTGTAAAATTTAAGAACAATTTTTAATCAAAATCATGTCCAAAACTGTTATAGAATATTTTTGTTCACAGAAAGCTGCATTTTGGGTAAGCAAAAATGTTTAATGATGATTTCAAACATAATTTCAATTTAAAAATTTGATTAAAACATCACAAAACTTTCACAAAAGAACAGAAACATTTCAAAAATATCAACAATTTTTGGCAAAAGAGTCCATTTTTTAAAAAAAGGCCAAATTGCTGTGAACTTTTTGTGCAAAAAATTTTGACCAGCTCCAACAACTGTCCTTACCACTGCCCTTGAAGTCTCCATAAACACAGCCAATATTTGCTTAAAATAAATAAACAAACAAACAAAAAGCAAGATAACCAAATGTTTTGGAAATTCTTTTGCAGTGGTGCTTGTCACCGCTATGGAATTAGTTTCAGGTAAAAACTATATGTGCTATTGGACAATAAAGCTTCCTGCCTCTTATGAATTATAAACTTCCAATTCTCAGCTTCAATAAGCAGAATAACTAGATTTATCCTTATGCGCTAAGGGACTGATTCAAAGCCACTTGAAGTCAATGGGAAGATGAACGAAGTCCAATGGACTTTAGTCCCTAGAGGATTAAACTTGTGTGATACTGAATAATTGAATCAATGAGCACTGAAGGCATGCCATTCCTTGCAAAGGGTAGGCAGCACGTCGGATGTTCAAGTTGCTGGAGCAAAGTTTAGACCCCAATTCAGGAAAACACTTAAGCATATGCTTAACTGTAATAAAGACAGGGATTCTTTCCTGAACCAGGACCTTAATTAACAAGTAAGACACACAAAAAATGTACTTGATTTGCCTTTGTACCTATTCAAAAATAATGCTTTTCTCTTTTCCTCTTATTGTTGTTATTGTATTCGTTTGCTTGGCGTGTTTGTTTTTTTTTAATGTAAGCAATTTAGTTACTATTAGGTAAAAAAAGTTACTTAACTGCTGGTAAAATATATTTGGACTCATGTTCTCTCTTCTGAATTCAGTTATGAGATCCAGAGACTCTAACATCTCTGATTTTTAGGCTCCACATGGATCATTAAACAGTTTCAAAAGCTTGTTTCAGACTCAGACTATTTCTATGCTGCAGAAAAGATAAAAATAAAACATGTCCTGTTCCCCAAAAAAACTCTGATAACTTTCATGATTCCCTAAAAATATCAATTTATTTTGTATTACTTAAGTACGCAGGTTTCGGAGTAGCAGCCGTGTTAGTCTGTATCTGTAAAAAGAACAGGAGTACTTGTGGCACCGTAGAGACTAACAAATTTATTAGAGCATAAGCTTTCGTGAGCTACAGCACACTTCATCGGATGCATACGCAGCTAATCCATATGCCATCAGCTGAGGATCCAGATGTTACAAATCATTTAAAAATTAGGAAAGTGGCTACTTAGTCCTTACTTAGTCACTTAAATGAGAATATGGTAGATCTTACTAGTAAGATCTGTTTGTTTGTTTTTTTCTGGTGACTAAAACATATTTGAAGCGGATATCTGACACTTCTCATCTTTCGAGATTTTTAGACACCTATCCCTCATGGAGACTGTAAACTTACTAATGGCTTGCAGTTAGATTTTCCAGTACAAGTTCACTGTACTGTGTGTGTGTGTTTCCCCACTGATACAAGTCACCTGGTGACCATCATGAATACATACAGATTGTATGATTTACATGTTTGCATTGATTCTGTGGACATATCTCTTCCCAGTGGAACCTGCTGTTGCATTTACCACCTGCAAGATGGGAAATCCTCAGGGTTCTGTGGATGTTTGAAGCTATCATAGGCATTGTCATGGCCTTAGACTGGACAGCAGCTGTCCATAAAAGGAGATTTAGAGAATGCCTGAGACCTGGAGAATGCCTAAAACCTAGGCGATGGTGACATTTACAGAACTTTTATCACTACAAGAGAGCTATCTGTTTTTGCTTCTGTGCCTTTTAAAATGCAAAACAATCAACAGTCATTCCATCTGAGCTGGCAACAAGGGTAACAGCTGGATGTAAATTAATACTAATCCAAAATCCTTGAGAATGAACATCTCCAGACATTCAAACCACAGCATTCAATGATAAGTCTGATCAAGGGTTATGCTTCTTTTATTCAACCAAACTGTGGCAACATGCTCACTATCACATAGCAGTGCTTGAACGTACCCTTTCAAAGCCCCGCTGATGAAGAAAAGATACGCTTCTAACTTAATCCAGACTGCCACATTGAAAAGCCATCTGTGAGGATATTTTGAAGGAAACAGATGGAAAAGGAAGAGATTCCTCTGAATGCAGGGTAAGATTTACATTATCCTCATGAACTTCCATGTAGTCCGCATGTTTATATAATTTATCACTATTTCCTTAGGCAGCTCAGATTAGGAAACTCGCATGAGCTCATATTCTTGTTGTTAATTCTGAGTCTGAACTCCTCTCCTTTAAAGGGAAATTCAGTAGTGTAAAAGAAAAGAAAGAAAGGCAATTGGACAGAGTGAAGGCCATTTATGTCAGGCTCCCAAACTTCCTATTGCTACCTCTCCTCCTTTTCAGCCTAGAGCCATTTTAGTATGTGTGCACCCATGACGACAGTCTACATTCATTGCCATGAAACAGAGCCGAGTGACAGCAAGAGGCTCTGCTCATTGTAGTTTTAGAGCAATGCCTATTACAGTTGCTATGGTAAAGGCCAGTCAGTACTTGTGTTGAAAACCACTGCTGCCAGGGGTTTAAAAAAAAGTTCTTTGCGTTTACTTGGCATACAAATAACTACATTCATATTTATAATGTATCTGTTTGTAAACAGAAGTTTAGCTATAGTTCTAGTGCTACATTACCTTTTAGAAATCCAGAGTTATCTACCTACTTCCATGTTAAATACATTCTCTACTTGATTTCTAGTTTTCTATAAATACAGCAAAATTCAGAGATTAAAAGTGAGAGTTCCAAAAGGGCAATTCTTAACTCTAGTGCTCACCATGGAGAGGAATCCCTCTGCCCACCTTTGGCTGCAGAGCAGCTGCAAAGCTGCACCAAGGAGGCTATTGCAGCCCAGTGGCTGAACCCCGACCCCCTGCGGCAGTGAGTCTCAGAGCCCGGGTCCACAGACTTGGGCTCTCTGTTCCTGTGCTATGCTGCTAAAAATAGCCATATGGATGTTCTGGCTGAGCTCAGGTTCTGAAACCCACCTCCCCTCCAAGGCTTCAGAGCCAGAGCTGGAACATCCACTTGACTATTTTTAGTGCTGTAGCGTAGGCCCCGCAAGCCTGAGTCTATAGACATGGGTTCTGAGACTTGTTGGTGCACGTGGGTTTTTTTGCCATGTAGACGTACCCTCTGTTGCCTCTTCTGCTGCCCCCTATGTGGGGAGGGGAGGATAGTAGGATCCAGGCAGCAATGGGTCCTCTGGTCCAAGCCTTCTCTTAGTCTACCTTTACCCTGCCCACTGTGTAGTACTGCCCATCTTCGGAGAGGAGCTCTGCAACATGTTAAGAAGCATGCACCTCATGCAAGGCCCCACCCAGAATCCTGTCCTTCTTTGCACAGCTGAACTGTGCCTGGAGTCTCTGCTGGCTGGGAGGGATGGTGAATTTGAGTTTAGTGTAGAATTCCTACTGCATTATCCTGAATGTTATCTCCACCATTAGGAGAGTGCAATATTATTGTATCAACACCATTCATTAATCATGGCTGTAGTTTTATTGTTTTTTTTAGAAACTGGACTCCTACACATGCTTTTGGAGAGTTTTTATCTTTTTACCACTAGAACTTTCTGTTTCTATTTTTAATTCAGGTTCTTTTTACAGTAATACATTCAAACCATAACATAGTCTAGCAAAAGTTCTGTTCCTTCAAAAAAAGCAGACCTATATCAAGAAGAGTTCTGTACCCTTAGTAGTCCATCTGTATTCATCAAAGCACTAAGCACATGCTAAGTACTTTTCTGAATATGGATGGACTTAAGCCCATATGTAAACACTTGACTGAAATGGGGCCTATATGTAATTATTCTGAAAAATATTTAGTGGACAAGTGGGGTTTATTTTGTTGTGTGGATTTAATGGATGATTTAAATGATCAGTGCATTTTTCCATTTATTAAGTACTAATTGCATTACTTACAATAAACATTGCTAATTTACATGCTCAAGAACAAAGGATATTAAGGTAATCTACAGAATTAATTCATATAAACATTTCTTACCTGAGCAGGCTTCTTCTGAACCACTTGTTGCGGCTGCAAAGAAAAGTAAATATTAGCCCTTTTATGAACAAGAAAATACATTGAGGCCATATTTCATTTTCTAATGTCTGAAACAACATATAGACAAAGGACCAAATTCAAAGATGATGTGAAAAATAGTGCACATCTCCTGCACTCACTCAGACGCCCCAGACATACTTACGTCCCCTCACCCAACATGTAAAGGTGTCTCAGTTGATGTAATGCACACTCTGTGGAGGCAGACATATATGTAAGGGATAAGTTAAAGCAAGGTAAGGGCTGCATTAATATGCACTTTTCTCCAGCTCCTCAGGGTGTGTGTTACAGCAGCTTTACACATCAGAAGAGGGGGTTTAAACAGGTATAGAATCTGAATGTAGAGGAGTCTGTTACTCTAAGGAAGTCTGCCTTATAGCACCTTCTATATCCCCTCTGAATTTGTCCCCAAAGATGCAATTTTAGTTTAGTTTCAAAAGTAATGTTATTGATACTATGTTAGATTTTGGTATGTGTGTGTGAGTACATATCAAGTAACTTTTGGGAAGCTTATATTATCCAGAAATTTCCCTCATATCTGACACTGTGCATTCTGTAAGCAGGCTGACCCCCATTCAGTCCCTCAGAACTGTTTGTGTAGATACAGGTACACATTCATACTCCAAAAGTGGCATTTCTGTGGTCCTATGTTCTGGCTGGTCCGGGAATGGGCGCATAACACCATTGTAGACCCCTGATGATTTTACTTATTCCAGCAACACAGTTAATTCTAGAAGAGGATGGGGGGACGGATGAGCTAACATACACACACCAAGCTCCTAGGTCCTATCTGAAATATTATCTCTAATGACTGGCTCTGATGACCTGTAGAGCATGATCTCCACAGGTCTTGGTAAAGGTACAAAATAACAAGACTACTTAGCACTCATAGAGGGTGAAATCCTAGCCCCACTGAAGTCAATAGGAGTTTTCCCAATAACTTTAATGGGAAACCCACATAATGTGCACCCACATAATTTTTTTATATATATATTCAAAGCACAATCATTGCATCTAATGATTTTCTTCCTAGCCATTGCTTTATGGATGTGTTGCCTATTCCCAACTTTGCCTGTTCCCAGCTCAAGACCTGTGTTTGTCTCCTTACTTGGGCATAAGCCAACAAGTCATTTAGCTAGCCAAAGGCTAGTTTTCATTACAGTGTGTTAGAAAATCGCTTAAACTTTTCAAAATAAACAATTTGATGTATCTGGTCCTTAAGAGCAATATTTTAGTGGGAAAAATGAATGAAAATGTAAAACAAAGGTAACTGATGCTAGGATCAATTCAGACTCCCCACCACAAAGCATTCTATTTTAGCAACAGATACTTTGTTTACCTGCAATATCTTTCTAATTCTATGGAGTCCTGATACTGATATGTTTTTGTATTTCTGCATAAACCTCTAAGGAAATACTAGAAAAGAAAGTGCAATTTACTACGTCCATTTTTTAAAATCTTAGCGTTGACCCTTTCTTTTCCATTGAATAACTGTGCAGTGGAGAAGTGATCAAAAATGCACACTTTTTTTGTTGATGTCTTTCCCAGGTGATTACAGGCCCTGGGCTGATTAGCACATTTGCTGCCTCTTGGGAAATGAGTCTTGGTGCAAAGAGATTATTTGGTTCAAAAGAATCATTTGTAAGAATAGCATTCATCAAGCTTATCAATAATCTCAATCATTAGCACTTCCCTGACTTTTCTTCCCCCTGTTGATTACACCTGTACACATGTTTACTCCCAAACCACACAAAATCCACAGACATTCTCACTGGCTGACTTGATTCCTACAGCTCAGAAATCCCCATTTTTTTTGGCAGTGGACCCTGCATTCATGTGACTGTTGCACACTATAGCTCAATGAAATCCACTGAAAGAGCTGCCAACTCACCAAATTTTCCATGAATTAGCTCCTGACACTTCAATGAGGGGAAAGACAATGTCTGAAACAAGGCCAGCTCTGGCTCCTTGCCTAGTATGTGTCACAGTAATTCTACCAGCTGCCCTTCCACATAGCACTTCATACTTTTCAGACCACCAAAAAGACCCTTGAATACTTTCAATACCAGTTGGGGTTAGAGCTGCCAGTATGTTTTCCCAGCCTCTGGCACCCGATGGCTTCAGACTGAACCTAGAAAGTTTTGTGTGTGTTTGTTTTGTTTTTATTTTTATGAATGGCTTTAGTAGAGGACTCTGATTGAAGCACAATACTGCAGTCATTCATAAAATGTGAAGGGAAAATGTTGTACTTTGCCTGCCTGGAAACTGTTTCTGATACTGACCAAGTTTTATGAGACTCTTAATCACTCGGGACCTTTGGTATCTTACTGCTGAGAGCTTGCTAGCTAGAGTTCTTGTGATTCAAAATACTATGGATTTGTGATCTTGGATATGCTGTTTATTATGCTTTTATAAGGAAGAACTGTATGATTTAGATTAAGCTTTAAAGCAGGGGTCAGATCCTTAGCTGGCGTAAATCAGCATATTCCCTTGAAGCCCATGACATTTAAAGCTTTGCCACTTAGAAAACAATGATTTTTATGGGCTGGGCTCCTGCAGATTGAATCAATGGGTGCTTTGTTTGCATAAGGGCTGCAAATATTGCTTGGTAAAGTCAAGCGGGATTTAGTCTGGTCTCCTGAGGCTTGGAGTGTCCCTGGCCTTGAAGGCAATGAGAGAGTTCAGGGAAACTGACTGCACAGAATCAGGGCCTATGTGTCCTGCTCTAGTGATGCTTTCTTTGACTGTAGTGGCTATGTATCCTTTGGCTCCTTTGTCAACTCTTTGACAAGTTAATGATGTAACCTCCTCTGCTCACTAAGCTTTCACTTCATTGTGTTAACAGATCTCTGCATCTTCCAATGAGTGTCTTGGAATGAGACACCTCTAATTCAAAAGGCTGTTGCATTTAAATGTACATCTTGCTGGGGTAAAAGAGAATTCATCTTGGATATAAAAAAAAGTTAGTATCTATAAAAAAATGCCAGAGACAAGGGACTTTAAAGAAATCCTTTGGAGCAAAATAACATTGTACACAGAACTGGAGAGCCCTGAATAAAAGACTCCATCAGCTGAGAGTGTTACTTATGGATTCTGTACAGCAAATCTCTGTATCTCTGACTGTTCTCAAGGATGTGTAGTCTCGTTTATTTCAAAGATCACATTTGGAGTAGCTTAGCTCAATATATAACTTTCAAGTGTTATTTTTTGCCTAGTTTAAAAGTAGACTATTTTATATTGCCTGGAATATCAGTCACAATTCTGGACACGTGAAAGAAAAATTCACCTCTTTTGGTCAAACACGATTATAAGACACTGTCTTACACTGCGTCCCCAAATTCATGCACTACAGGGAATACAAAGCAAAAGTGTTAAGATGCTGGCAGATATTAAAAATATTCCTGTGAGAAGAGAACTTAAATAGCAATAATGTCTTTTAGTATAAAATGGAAACTAGAATATAGCAGGATTTTCTTCACCAACTTTAAAATTGTGTTGTTTTAATGTGCTAGCTAAAGCAAAATAAAATTAACTGTATACTTTCATGGGCCGATACTGCACTTTGGATGGAAAAAAACAACTATGGTGACAACATGAACAGACCTTTCAGATGTCTTGTCCTCAGCTTAAACTTCACACAGTTAAATCCCAACTCCTTATCTTTCCTAACAAACCTTCTTCACTTCCTTCATCCTCTATCACTGCTGACAATCACCACCGTCCTCTCTGTCACCCAGGCCTAGGGATTAGTTTTGACTTCTTTTCTCTTGCCCTGACATCCAGGTCATATCCAAATCCTGCCACCTTTTCCTTCTCGACATCCAAGATGCATCCTTTCCTTTCCCTCCCCACAGCCAAATCTCTTGCTCAGGCCTCATTATATCCTGCCTCAATGACTACAACGTCCTCCTCTAAAAAGTCTATAAATCAGATATCGTCTACCTGTGTAGGGAACTACAGACCCTGATCAAATCACTTCTTAATCCTTCTCTTTGTAGACTAGTTTGAGCTTCTTTACTCTCTCATTGTAAGACATGATCTCCAGTCCACAAATAATTTTTGTTGCTCTTCTTTGAACTCAATCCATTTTTTTTTAAAATGGACACATTATTCCAGCAGTGGTTCCATCAGTACCAAATACAAAGGCAATATCATCTCCATACTCCTGCTCATTATCACCCTGTTTATATTTCCAAATAGGAATTCCAAGTTAGCCCTTGTTAGCGTGCATACCTAGGCTTTCATATACTTTGCTGAATGTCATGCAAGTAATCCTTCCAACGTTTTCAATATTAATTGGGAGATTTCTATAACTGAGTTATAAGTTACATTTTGAAACTTCATGGTGTTGGTTGGAAGAATATGCATAGCTTTTCTTTTAAATAAAATGAACAATGTTGGAACACATATATAATGATTACAGATGAAAATACTATGCATGAATTCAATCCACTAATTGATTTCCATCCCCAAAGTATAGCAATCCACATTGTTCTTAAATATTAAAAGTCTGCATTTGGATCTGTCTCTCTCCCTTATTAAAGTGAGCTTAGTGCTGTGAAAGGTGCCAAATGGACAATCCCTGGAGACTAAAGTTCTCTGTTTTACCCACAAGCGAGTACAATATCAACAGTGACAATACAATCATACATAGGTAGCTCTGTTGGTGAGATTAGCAAGAAAGGTGAAAAACTAATGGCAGTTATGATGGTTTCACTAATGCCAACTAAGTACTGTAGTTAGACAATCAACTCATTTCATAGGTCACCCTAGCATTTGTAGCTCTAAATTAACAGAAGTGTGAAACGATATGCACAAATCCCTGTTGACCTGCACATCCAAGAAGGTTCAAGAACTCAAATAATACTAGCGAAACTGAAATTAATCCAAACTAAAAAATATTCCCTCCAAACGATTTCAAGAGGTGGCACAATAATTTCTGTTGTAACTCGCACCTTCCTCAACTAGTTTAAATC